AGTAAATTACCTGGAAAAAACTCTCCACATTCAGAGACTAGCAATATCAGGCATACCAAACTTGGGAAATGCCTGAATTGAGATTGCCTGCACAATGCTAATTTGGCCCTAGTGTACGTCTGCATCACGAAACAAATCTGTAATCACAGGATGGCCTGCAGTTTCTTTCCCACGAGACCTCTGCCCTGCTCAGTCCTCAGGATGGTTCTGCTCACTGAATGCAGCATTAGTCATTATTTCTTTTCATTATCATTCAAGTTGTTTCCCCGTTCCCTCCTACTCTCTTCCCTCTTATTTAGTACGCTCCATCCGACTACGGCCAGCATGGATTACATTGGAAGTACCTAATCTTACTGTCCTTACCACTCTCACAGTCTCTGGTGCGCTGAGCCTCGCATCTCTGCGAGGCAGGGACACGCTCCTCTCCATGCCGCAGGTGAGGGAGGGAGGCTACAAGAAGCTAAGAGACTTGACGTGGTCACAGAGGAACTCTGCAAGAGAGCAGGGTGCTGACATTGCTCTTCAACTCCCAGGCTGACTGCCTACCACAGAGCGTCCCTTTCTCTCTCTGCCTGTAAGAATGAATTTTAATTTCTTCTTGAAATTGTTTCTGGTGTTCAGCTGTGGTGCTGGAATGCTTGGCAAACACTGAATTAATCTTCACGGGATGACTGGCAGGAGGTTTCCTTAATAAACAGGGGAAAGCAAGCGAAGAGGAAATCGACTCCAAACGTCCACTCCTTTTGGGTGCCCAGCTCAAGACTTGCAGGGCCCCATTTTCCAGCACACTCAGCACTGGAGGGCACAGGAGATTCTGCAGCAGAATTCCTTGTGGCCTCAGGCGCTACTGGGAACAAGATCAGACCTCAGGTCTCAAGTTAGCCATCTAGAAGATGAGGAACACAAACTCAGTGGCCACCTGTGAACATATTGGCTTGAGAACGTGCGCTAGCATTGAGGAAGAACACTGTAGTAGAGGCAGGGACAGGATCCAGTTCTCCAGGGCAACATTTAACAGGCTTCACCATGAGACTATTGTGATTCTTCTGCAATTACCTGCCTCATTCACTAAACACCTTCTAATTTCGACAAACAAATGCAGTGGAAGTCCTATAGGTGAGAGTCTACTCCACAGTCCTGATTCACCCTCAAATCATGTTCCATCTCTGCGTATTGAATGAGGCAGGCATCCTTTGGAAAAAAATACACATGATCATTCAGTTAGATAACGTACTGAAATATGCATGTGTAACAGGGTCAGGTCTAAACTGCAGAGACTGTTGTTCAGCTATTTCTTAAATTCTGGGTGTTTGATTTTACAGTTAACGAGAACTCTCTAACTATAGGTTTGTTTTCAGTGCAGCACACTGGCTTGTATGTCAGAGTTTGCAGCAATATCTGATGTGCAACACGAACGTTGCACATGATCAAAGACTTGAATGTCATCTTCCCTAGAACAATGACTGCCTAAAGCAGCAGGAGCAGAAATTATCTGAAGGTAGTGTTAAACAAACCTCCTTCTCCCCTCTGGGGAGAGTAACCAGTCCAGGTGAGCAAGGTAGGAGGGGAGAACAGTCTGCTTTGTGCTAGAGAGCTCCACATAAAAGCAGAAGAGCTTTGCAGAAGCATGTCCTGACTCCCATCACTGGAGACTTAATGATGGTAATTCCCAAAGGATGATGCATGCTGACAGGCTTTGACACAAACTACCCCAGGATAATATTAATATGTATTAAAGGCTCAGGCAACTTTATTGGGAAGGGCTTGATCAGTAACACATTTCAACAGAGCGTCTCTATCATCTGCCTGAACATAAGAAAGATGGGGAGGGAGAACATGCACACTCTCACCTTGCTTTGGGTAGGTTTAGAGACAAACAAGGTTGATCTGTGATGAATTGCACGCTTGGCACAGCTCAGCTGCTGGGCCGAGAACCTTGGACGCTTCACCACGAATACGAATGTCGCTGTGGGGCAGGTAATGTCAGAGCCTGTCTGCATGATCAGCATCCTTAAGCCTCCAACACAGGGCTAGACACCTCCTGTACAGCCTTTCGCTGTGCATCTGGAACATGTGCGGTGCGGAGAGGAGAGGAGTTGAGGAGGCAGCGTCAGGGCACTGCTGTCACTGCACTGGGGGAAGGGGGAGTGGAAGAAAGAACTGCGGAAGCCTTTGATCATGTGTAATGTTAATGCAAGTGTTACACATCAGAGACTTTGCCACGGTAACTAGCATATAAACAGAAGTCTAGTGTTAACAAGGAGTACTTCTTGAATATGTTTGTACATTTCTGAGTCAAAGCAATTTCCCTATTCAACAATACATGACACAGGGGAAGAAGTTCAGAAATAAACCAGCCTGACATGCTTAGACCTTTAATAGAATTTCGCTTCTCAGAACTAATTAAATGTTACTTAAATGAAAAAAAATCCAAGTACTTGGGAAAGGTGCCAATTTGACAGCTCTGGAAAATGAAATAATCTAATCATCCCCAGAGCATGGGCAGCAGCAGGACAGGCTTCCCCTACTAACATGCCTCGAACGTGACCTGGAAAGGCTGTTGATAGAAACGGGGCGTATAATCTCTGCGGTCTAATGACTCCTTGCCTTTTCTGCTGAGACTGCTAAAATGGCTCCTGCCGAGTACCAGCTGCGGCGGCGATACAGACACCTGTCTGGTAGGAATGGCACCGGGACCTGCCAAACTCCTGTCATCTGCTAACCGTCCCTCGGAGCCTAGTGACTTTCAGCTCACTGCTCAGCCAGGGTGGCCGCAGCTGAGCGACTGCGCGGCACCTCTCCGGCCTGTCCCACCTTGGACATGTTCCACTCCAGCCCACGAGATGTAAACAGGAGGTAACTGTGTTTAGTCTGCAGGTTTGGGCTTTCACTGCACCAAAGCTCAGGCCCAAGAGGGGTCAGTCTCTGGCTGTCGCATAGCTGTGGCTAGGAGTTTTTTTAGGTTCCTTGCTCCTCCCCCAATACAGGGAAAAAGTCCACAGGAGGAGAGGCCTGCTGTTTCCTTGCCTCTACACAGCCCCTCCATTTACATGCCTTCGCAACAAGCCCCTGCATTGCAGTGATCTGCTTTCAGCCGCCAACTCTCCTTGGAGCTCATCCCTGTGCCTGGGGTCCCAAGTGAGGGAGGAGATGAATCCTCTCCGGGCCTCGCTGTGAACACTTTGCAGGGCTCGCCAACTCAGCCAGCCCAGACTGCTAAGGGACTAAACCTAACAGAATTCACCTCCCTGGAAATTTTGTGCAGCAAGTTTCTTTTACTTCTGAAGTAAAGCCACATGAGCCTCCCTTCTCCACTCCCACCACCACAAGGGACTGCTGAGCACAGATGAAACCTCCCATTGCATATTAAGCCAAAAGCCTCAAACGCTCCCACATGTATCTCCCACAACTGGGTGCCCCTCCTCTTGTCCCAGGCTGCTTTTAGCCTCCCTTCCTCTTCCATCCAGGCTGTCCTCCTTCATTCTCATCACAGGGACAGGGCAGGAGCCAGCAGCAGAGCTGGTCACATCAGAAGATCTGATACGTTAACCTTGTGCAGGAGACAGGACAGAGAACTTGCTTCTCCCGACTCCTCAGAAGCCAGAAATTCCCCACCTTTCCCTCCCACCTGCTCAAAAAACTTAACTAATTCTCAGTGCTCCAGTAAAAGGCACAGAAACAACCAGGATCAAAAGAGTTAATATCAGTTACATGTCTGAACGGTGACCTAATTATTGCCATTCTTCACTGTTTAGAGGTTACCTGACTATTCTACACATCAATACATTTCAAGATGTGATGTAAATGCAAACAAACACTCTTATGTTTGGAGTCAACACAGTCACGAGATCCTATGTATCATGTGTTGGCAAGCACAGGAGCCGACAGCAGATGACCCACCCTTAAACCTGACCGTTTGCTGTTAATCATTACAGGAGTGTTGCACTTTCCAGTCTGTACAATCAAAGCGCACATGTTCTTTGAAAATCCCTACACACAAGATGATTCTAGCCAAGATCAGCTGCTACACAAGTCATACAGATTTCCAGGTATGCTCTCCTCCAGACTTATGAAGGCAGGCGGTGGAATGCCTTGAAAACAAGTCACTGGAAGGTTAATTGCCACACTGTAATTCTAGAGGTCTGAAACAGACCTTTGCCTTAAAAACAGGAGGAGAGGCAGGAAGGCTACAGTAACAGCGAAGGCAGAAATGTACTGCATGTATATAGCCCCTTAGAGATGGGGTTTTCTGCATAACCACAGTCCCAAAAGCTTTTTATTCTTGCAATATGTTTATAACCATGAAGAAATTAAAGGTTGGAATAGCGCTAAGCCATCATACCGTTAGTGCGTTACTGGGGCTCAGTAGAGATGACCCTCAACATCAAGCAGATGGGGAGCTTCCAAGGAAAATCCATTGTATAGAAAAAAATCTGAGTGCAGAAATTGTGTGGGTGCTTCAAGTAACTACTGCATTTGTCAAGGATTCAATAGGAAAGAGACAGAACCAAAGAAGGTGTACTCTGTGTGCCGCTCTCCTTTAAAGGATGATGAAAACCTGAGATCCTGACTTTGTAGGATCAAAGTCCCACAGCTTTCTCTTGAGATCAGCTTGCTAGCTCTTCCGCCCTGGCTCCATTCTAGTTTAGGTCATTCCACTCTGCCTCCCCAAATTCCTTTCTGGAATAAATCAGAGTAAATACAGCCTGCAAAGTGTTCTGTGACTCCAGGAAATGAACACTATTACATTCACAGATGATTTTAGAACTTTCCAGCCACTGCTTGTCATTTTGAGTTCTGCTAATACAAATAGTAACAGTTCAATATTATTTTTTGAGTATATAACTACTGAAAATATTATGCAAGAAGTATCAGAGATGCTGCAGCAGAATATACAGGTTTGTTACACTTTTAAGCCACATAAGCCCTTGGCAGGATCCTTTTCAGGACTCTGTAAAGGAGGATGGGGGAGAAAAAGAAAGAAAGGGAGGTGCTCTCACTTGTAACCAAGGTCCATGTGCTGCATAGGGGTGCTCTTCTGTAGCAAAGGCTCCTTCTACTCCTGTTGATACAAACGTGATTGCTGTATCCCCTGTAATGCTTTTATATGTAAAGTGCCGTCCATGTAACAGCCTTCCCCTGTGGAATAAAACACACGTGTGTGAACTGAGAGGTTGTGAGCTGCATTCAACAGAATGATGAAGATGTACTGCTGTAACTTCTGCCATCAAGTGTGGGGAACTATTTTGACAGCAGCAACCATTAATTTTTTAGGAATATATGAATGATTTGCTCCACAAAGCAGGTCACAAGCCTCTTTCTGAGGCAGGGATTTCCCGCCTTAATTGTAGGGCCTTGTATCAGAACTAGAACACATCTAGATCCCACTGCACACCTATCCTCATGATGTGCGTAAGGGCAGGGGACTGCCAGACCTTTCAGTAACATGAAGATTGCAGGAGAGAATCCAGACTCCACATCATGTGGCAATGTGAAAACACATTTCCAAGCAGGCTCATCAGTGGGGCCAAACTTATACACAGTGACAGCACCTGGCAAGCCATCGCCCTGGCACTTGACAAACATAATTTGTACTACTTCAGCATTTCAACAAAATGCCTAGATGATGTACATGCATGACCATCACAGTATCACTTACCTTTTTTTCATTCAGTGCTTTTCACAAGGCAAATCATGGCTCTGGTATTTATGTTCAGAGTCTGAGACACACATGCATTGCTTCCAGTATGGACCTGGAAAAATTCCAGGTAGGGTATATGGTGCCTAGCAACTGAGTCACAGTTGCTTGATGAGTTACTGCTGGTCAGCTGAGCTGTGGTAAGTGACCAGGGCAGACTGTTCACATACCCGTAATGCAAAATAAAATATGTTCATCTTGACTATCGCACTGGATTTCTCAACAGGCAAGTGTGTGCCTGCTGTTGATAACTCTGGCCCCACAGACATGTAACTCATTAAGCCAAAGTAACTCACTCAATTCCCTGCAATCATTTGCCTCTACCCTGCAGTTCATCTTTGTGTTAAGAACTACCACATTTGTCACAGGTATTTTTAAAAATAGTGCTGACTGAAATCGTGGAAACCTAGAGAAGTCAGTTATAGTGGTATGAGCAGCCTGAACCTTCAAAAGATAACGTGTAGAGCATGCACACAATGTTTTGTTCCTTCAAACATATAACTGACAGAATTTGTCTACAAAACACACTGCATGCAGAAACCACCTGCAAACAGGCTTTGTACAAAGACTTGCATTAAAGTCCACAAGTCAGAGCTAACAATTTAAGGGCTTTCTGTGACAGAATATGGTAACATATCCCTTGTTTATCACAGAGTTGCTAGCATCAGACTGATGAAAAAATCCCATACAAACCCTGTCCTGTTTCAGTACTCAAAAAACACTAGAGAAAATAAAAGGAATGAGAAACAATCTTACCATGATGAAAACACACATGCAAAGCATCATCTGTTTCTAATATGTTTTGGCAAAACATCCCAGCTCCGGCCTTTAAAGATCCATTGCATGCATGTCTGCATGGCGAAACACCGCCACAAGGCAAAAGCATCCTGTTAGCATAGAGATGAGGAGGAGGACAGCTTCACTCACCTTAGACAGAGGGGAATCAGTGCTCCGGACTCCTGGTTGAATTTCAGGTGTACGCTCTCCAGCTGTCTCGTGCGGATTAGCTCATGAGGAATGATAGCTGCTGAGCTCTCACTTTCTAAACTGTCCTTACGGCTTCTAGGAGAAGAGACAGAGCATCCATATTTAGGATTCCAGTGCTGTGAAAAAACACATGCCTATTTCCACTGTGATTCAGAGTGGTTGTGCAAAAATTGAAGGACACAGGAGCAAACTGCTATCAAGGCACATCTGAGTTGTCACCAAACTTTGCAGAGATGTAGGTTCCCTCAGATTACAGGTCCCAGTATGAAGTTCTTCACCTCGATTTGAAGACCTAGGACCTGAATTGATGAACATACATGGTACTCGTCTTCCCAGAATACAAGACATATCTTTCTGGGAAAAAACTAGACAAAAACTACACGCTCTGAGAGCCTGAAGCACTATAAAACGGCTTGGAAGAATTAGCAGATGTGTCTTCACCCTTGTGCTTAACCTTCAGGTTTTTTTTAGGCAACAGTCTGCTCGGAAAGGTCGTCCGGTCTTTTTTTGCCCTTGCTCGAATACCTTTGAGGTCTGAAGCATCCCTACAATTCCTCCCAAATCATTTCTTTCCACAACCAAAATTTTTCAAGTACCCCACCAGCATCAAGTGAAACAGCCACAATACACAATCTACGTGTGACGTGCAGGACATCTGCAGATTGCTCTCCCTTTGAAGTGGGGCTGCTTTAAGACAATGTAGGCTTTCTTTCTTATTCATTTACTCATTTCTGCAAGGCCAGTATGTTATGAAGCTATGACTAAAGGTTATATTGTTCCATGATTAGGAACTTTGCCAGACAGAATCCTCCAGATAATCAAACAGGTATATCTCAAAATAACTTGATCATAAACATTTTATATGTTCAAAGAGCAGCACTGTGATCCCTTATTTGATGGTACAGGATAAAGAAGGAAGGGCATCGTTCCTTTTACTCAGCAAATCTATGAATTTGGGATTGTGATCTATGAATGTGATACGCCTGACACATGGTTTATATTTATCTGCCTGGTGATCCATGCAAATTTAACAGAGGTAAGACTTTGTTAAAATAGTTTCTATAGTACAGAATCACCAGAAGAGGTGGACAGGGAAAGGAGGGAGAAGCTGAGAGAAAGATGCCATACTATAACGTGGTTTTATCTTGCCAGACAAACTGAAACGAAACAAGGCTACCAGGCCATGGCTCCATTTATGAACATGGCTGAAACATGCCTGGATCCTTACTGAACCCAAGATGGGATCCATCTCGAACATACATCTAGAAAAAAATTGTAAAGAATCAGCGTAACCCTCAGAAGATGACTTTTTTGACTTACTAACTTATCTCCACGTGATTTTATGCACGAATGTTATCCCAAAATTATTCCCATCCACCACACACAGGCATACGAATAGAGTTCAGTGTGGCTTCCAAACCAGAACAGCCTCTGCCAAGTCACCAAGTCCCAGGTAAGCCTTTCACCTGGACTTGTAAACTGCCCACTCCGAAATGAGGATACCAACTAAACCCTTTGCTTGCCGTTATCTTACAATGCCTTCCTGCAAATATCCTGCATGCCCAGGACAGACATACGTACAAAAAAAAATCAGAGCAGCTCAGCTCCCTGCAAAATAAAGAACCGCAGAGCGTGTCCCAGGTTCTGCCCTAAGAATACACAAAAGCAATAACGGACCCAGCAAAGGCATAGTAGATCAGGATACGGCGCGTGTGTGGGGTGGGCTGATGGGTTAACCCCAAAGCAAAGACATAACGTGCTTTGTAGTCTATAGGTGGCACTTAACGCTGTGTTTAATCTAGCTCAGCAAACATTTTACAGCTCTTTGTAGGTGGGGCCTTGAAAGAGTACAGTGGGCCAGCATTTTGCAGGCTGATTACCTTAGAAGTGCACAGTTGATTAATGATCAGTTAACCTTAAGTTAAGCTTTGCCTGAACTTCCTTATCAGATCTCCTATACACAGTGAGCTGTGGGAAAGTCAGCCTGTGGTCTACCGCTTCCAATCATTCATTATCAATCCCTACCAAAAGGGTCAGCCGTTAGCAACGCATGATTTTCATGCAGGCCATAAGCATGCACTCATTAAATGCAGTTCCTGGGTTTACGAACCCTGGAGCAGATCAGGAGTTACACAGCAATGTTATTGCTATGGACAAGAGACCATGCCCTTCTCACCTAGATTGGCTAAGCGTGCTGGGCACGTCCTGTAACACTCCTTCCCGGCTGATGAGTGCTGTACTTTCACGTTTCAGAAGGACAGCGGGTCAGAGGACAGTTCCGTATAATCCCTGGGCCCCTAACTCTCTGAGCAGAAGGTGGGTTTTCAGATTTCCACTGTGCTAGCCAGTACAGCCGCTAGCACAATGGGATCGCAGTCCCGAGGGGAAACAGCCTCCGGTTGCTAATGTAATAATAGGAATGACGACAATATTCTGGAGGCAAGAGGCAAAGCTTTCTAAGTCTTATTAGAAACAGCACAGGCTGTTTGTCATTACACACTCAAGAAAAGATGTTGACTAATGTATAACTATCAAACAGAACTGTCCTGACTTTAAAGCTGTCAATAATTATGACTTCATGTTAATAAGTAACCAGCCCTTCTGTCAAAAAGGTGAAGGAGTGAAGCAAAATGGTAGTTAATACTTTGAATGACATGAAATTATTGATCCTTTCCACAAAACTTTTCCAAAATAGTCTCAGTCTCTGTGTTTCTTGTTTCACTGTGGTGGAGCTCTTACAATTTCAGCCACATAAAGTTAAGGGTGAAACTGTGACAGCAGAAACCAAATAACCTTCTATCTCAGCGGTATCTTTCTAAACAAGAGTTTTGTGCACTGGGCACTTCTGGACTTGCTGTGAATTGTACACAACATATCAAGAGGTCACAGCGCTCTCTACGTGGAGTCAGGCTGTAGCATCCACTTTGCTGCCTCAATGGAAATTACAATCTCAGCCTCGAAGCCGAGGTGACTAGTCCCACCACCCCAGGAACGGACCTCCCAGCACTTGGTTCTAGCTACAGGCCCTGCTGCGGTTTTGTGAGTGTCCCTCAAGCACGCTCTCTGTGGTGCAAAGGTAGCAAGCAAGAGATGAGCATCCCATTGCCTAAATCCAGTTTGTGGGCTACTGGTCAGAGCCAAGCAGTGGCCGAGGAAAGGAAGTTGGCCCATACTATCTACAGAGAGGACTACTGTCTCCACTGCTTTTATATCCCGAGACACGTAAATTGATGAAAAGAAAATAGAGCAAAATATACCTAAGCTGTTTTCAGAGTGAAGGGTGTTAACAGGCTTTAAGTTTGTAAAAAGTCCTGAGAAGCTCAGGTGAAAGGTGCTTGAGGAAGGTCACAAAGGGGCCATGACTTTCAGACTCCAGAACATGTATCAAGACACAGGGACTCTGTAAGCCCCAAATTCTTTCACTGGAAATGGAAATCCTTGTACATGGACACTTGCAAAGGGTGATGGCCCAGATGAAGGGTCAGTGGGACTTCTAGAGTGTTATTAATAAAAAGCTCCGGTCATAACACGCTCTGCCATCCACAGCTTGTAGTTTTCGGCTTTAGAAGAAAATGTAGAAAAAGTCTGCTTTCTAAGACTAACATCTCTGATTTTATGACTGTCAGTTACCCATAAGCCTTTCCTTCCTCCACCCTATCACCAAATAAATCAGCAGCAAAAGCTGGTGGAGTTTTATTTGTTATGACTAAGATCTAGCTGACTATCATGTAAAATGTTGCAAACTTTCTCTATTCCAGATTTAATACTTCATCCAACCCACACAAAAAATTCATGTTTCTCAGTGTCCAGAAAAAACAAGTCTGCAAAAGCCAGGGCTGCTGCATTAGGAAAGGCTGTAGATTTAAATGGAAGCAGCATGCCGGAAATGCCCCAGTTTAAGGACTGCACATCTAGTGTTTTCTGAAAGTGGAGGGGAGTTGGAGGAGATTAAAGCGCATTTCCCTCTGATTGGGAGCTTGTGGGAGGTGTAATCGTGGGCAGTTGTCAGATTAATTCTTTAGATGATTACATTCTTTTTGTTTCTTTAAAGCTGTTTGTAGTTGGGTTTGATGTCTCCTGTTCTGGGCAAGTGTATTGCTGCAGTTACCAAGGTGACTTTAGCTGACTTTCAACTATTTTTTCCAGCTTCAGTTTCTACCAGTAGTCTGCTTCTGGGCAGAGAGGAGAAGGAGGAAATGATGGTTGCTAGCTTTGTTTGAAGTCTCGTGAATGAAGATTAACAGCTCCTGAACTTAACCAAAGTCATACTTGATTTTTTAAGCAAGGTTTCTGTGAGAGGGGTGGCCAAACTGCTGCAAAGGGGTCAAACATGGACTGCAGCCTCCCCAGATTTCTGTCAACAGGGAGGAAGGGACTGAAGAGACTACGTGCCCCAGTGTGCTGTGCTCCTTCTTGATGGGTGCAGCCACACGCTGGAACCTGTTGCCTCCTTGGGGCCCTCTCTTTGCATGAAGGATGAGGGTGGCTGCAACCTGCTTAATTTTATGCCAATTAGCAGTAGCCCTTGGGGATCCTGGAAAATCGCCAACACAATCACTGGGTTGCGCAAAGTTTGGATGTCCCCTCCTTTTAAGTCATGTTTATGGCAGCCTCTGCTCAGGCAGCCCCAATGGCAGTTACTTTATGGGATTCAAGAATAACCAGGTTGATCAGATTAAGAAATCCAGTCTTATTTATTCTTTCATTTGCATTTCGCTTTATGATCAGGGCGCTTGATCTCAGGGATCTGTTACTGAACCAGATCGCAATTCCCTCCCAAGCTCTGTCACTGACATGGAGCACGATTTCTCCGCATTTCCAAATTACCTCCCCGGTACTGAAATCACAAAGGAGAGGCTATTGGAAGCTGATCACGACAGGGACTCCATAGGAATGGGTGCCCACTGCCCCACTGTCCTGAGTTACAGTCACTGCTTGCTTCCCAGGAACAAAAAACCCTGTGCTATGAGTTGGCAAATGCAAATAATTAGTGCCAGCTTATACAGCCGAGAGAGACATTAGCCCACTTGCCTTCCCTCCCCCCCCCCCACGCTTCGCCCCCCCCGCTTCCCCCC